TACTTTTTTTGAGTCTTGGCATTTCGAAGACTTGTAGTTCACCGGTTTAAGCAATGATCCAAAATCTAAAGATCCTTTATTGGCTAACGTTTCGGCGCTCTCGCCTTCGTCAGGGTCTGGAAAGTCGAATACAAAAGAGACCTATTCTCTCAGGCGCCAACAAAACTCAGAATAACATTCAATGGTCAAAACACGATCAAATTGCTATAATAGTACCAACCTTAGATGACAGCACAATGATGTACAAAAAATACTACGTAATACCAAAACGGGCCTAGCTCTTTTATATGTGCCGTGCTGACCCGATCCGATATTCAAACAAGGGGCAAGTTCTCATGGTGGCCCCTTCCTATTCATTTTTGGTTTTTCGGCGTTAATTAACGCTTCCAACGATATGCGCGCTAAGATTCTATCTACAATGTGGCCAGATTTCACAGCCTGGGGTCAAATGGGTACGATTGCACGCGCGATTGCGAACTAGCTACCGCTTAAGTTGTGGGCGGAATGACGTTGTCAATTGAAACAGTTCTACTGAAGGTCTGCGAGTTCTGAAGAAACATTTTAAATTCGAATACCAATTAAGATGCAATCTGGCATGAATCGTATAGAAAAAGCGCGTTCCTGGCGGGTCATGAACATGTTCCGCACTATGGAAATTTTTGTTTTGGTAAGATGCCCGGAGAGGTCATGTACAAGGATATTTTTGCTACACGGCTTACGATACCGCTTTGTTTTATACTCTCCCTTTGATAGTAGATTTGCACATGCAGGAACGCAAGCCAGTTTTCGCTGGGCTTTTCCCTAGTAGACTTGATGTTTTTAAACTGCTGGTTAAGGATATTAGCAGATGTCCATCTCGATTTAAGTGGGACATACGATGCAACACTCGTCTCCACGGCGTTTCAAGATTCGTTTTTACCATTGAATAAAGATAGTGGCGAGAGTAAGCGCCAATCGTCGACCTATCGTTAACCCTTAATTTGCTCGTAACCATGACTTGACCTCGAAAGACGGAGCAGTGTAAGCACGAGTTTAGACAGGTCATTATGCTGTTTATAGTGGATCCATGTAGGTTACGGGAGGAAGATGCATTAAAAGTAGATGCCGGATAGCTTGTACAACCGCATCTTTCGATATATTAGTGTATAACAACATAACATCAACGACTCCCTGACGCATCCTTAGTAAAGAGTGCGGCGCGGACCTCGAGCAGTTTGTTGGTATTGGGAAGATGCGCAGGTACAATGAGCAATGGTCCAACTTTACGTCAAGAAATCATGGTATCTCTTCACTCCGCCTTTAATACCATTATTTATAGCCTTAGCTTGGTCGCGCACGTTATTTGAGGTCACTCCTGCCGCGGATAGCTTGTGGGTTTTGATTAGCGCGTAGAGAACAACAAATAGGTAAATCGCCCTTTGAACGCGTGTCGATACTTTTAGGTAGTCTGCAAAATGAGATGTTTCCAATTACCATACCCTGTTTTCGCGGCCGTACTGCTCGAACTCGATGGTGGATGAAGGCAGATAAACCGCATCATCTTCCAGATTATTTTGGGTTATAGATATGTCTAATTCACGTGAAATTACCACAAACTCCGCTCCCTTGTCACTAACGGAAACCTTGATTTCCCCTGCCTTGCAGAGATCATAAATGTTGCGTAGGCGTGGCGCTGTGCAGGCGTTAAAATCAGAAATTGCTACCACGCTGGGTTCACATCGTTTAGTTCAACCCGACAATGCTAAAATACAAACTGGAAGAAAGAAGGATGCATCGTTGTTACTAGAAACTGCCCTTTGTACCTCTCTGTATAAGAAGAATGAACGAAACGTCTAACAA